TCTGAGATACGCCGGACTCTTCATCATGTACACAAGGACCCTGAGGAAACAAGGTTCATATACATACATACATACATACATACATACATACATACATCTCTTAAACAGGAATCTATATTACAGAACAGTTGATGGCTGACAAAACAAGGGCAAGACTGAATTTGTATTAAAGGGATAATTAGCAAATTTATATAAAAACCTCTTGGGAAGCACTAGAGTGAAGAAAGCAGAGGTTGAAGTTAAACTTACAATTTTGTCAATATTCTTAAAAAGCAAACTATGGCTCTAATGCTGCCTTTCACAGTAGGAAAATAATTTGAAATTGTAAAAGCCTAAAACATTGTGTATAAATCAAGCTATTTCCAAGTTTTTGTATTGACAAAAAAAATCTAGGCCTGAACTTCAGGAAAGATTTACAGGGTAACCAGAGACACCCAGCTAAAAAGTTGGTATCACGAATAAAACTGGAGCTATATAAGTCATACAAGAACATATATAGATATGTGTTTTTGTGATTATTTATAATTTGGAATAAAAAAAGTTTGTTCAGCATTACAGGAATTCGTATTGTATGAACAAACAGTATCTGACGTCATATAACTCGTATTCTTATAAAATTGGGGTAAGTCAATAAATGAAGGGAAAAAGGCAATGTTGTTCAAACTGATTTAGAAAGCCTCCTATTGAATTAGTGTCTGATAATGTTACTAAGGACATTTCTCCAAGGGATATGCAAGATGGAAGTGTATATTCAATCTCTGTACATGTGGGATCAGAAGAAACAACAGGCTGAAAGGGACACAAACAATCTATTGCTGAAGAACAGTAATTAAGTAGAGGAAATATTGTATCAGGAGTAACTATGATGAGTTATATTAGAAGAAATTACACAATGCTTGTCAGAAAAATGGGTTGGACTAAGGGCATTAGCTCAGAAGTCTGAATCCCTCATTACCACATGCCTTTCCAGTTCACCAAACGGAAAACCCACTGAGCAGGATTTTACTTTTGTACTTCAGCACTTCACAGGTAAAAATCAGAAGCATACTTGAAACAGATTTCAGCCTCACCATTCTAATGAATTTCAAACTACGGTACTTCTGTATCAAGGGGAGAGAGGAAAAAAAAAAAGATAGAAGGGAAATGGAGGAAAATATAATTAGGAGGTGAGAGCAGTCAAGCACATAGGAAGAAATGGAGGTTCCCTGGTAATCCAAAGTCTAGATCTGCTCTCTGTGCCACGAAGGGTAAGCATTACTGACCCGATCATTTTTATGTAGGAACTTTCAGCAAATGACGATAGCTAGGCAGATCATTGAAAGTGCAAATCATCAAAAATTGGAGAGAAACTTCAACAAGAGGAGATACAAGTTATACATATAAACTGCTTAAGCATCTTCTGGCCCCACTTTCTTCTTTATGATGCAGTTATACTAAAACTAGATAGTAACTGGTGCTAGAAACCTGAAGAAGAGGCAGTTGTCAAAAGCCAGAACCTTGAAAATGACTGCGAGCTAGCTAGTTTTGGGGCTGTTATCTCCCTCCATCCCAGAACTGACTGTTAAAAACCTTGAAAATGACTGGAACTAGTCACTTTCTAGGCTACTAATACAACAGTACTGCGTATTTAATAAGCACCACTACATCAACTTTCTACATGTGTGCCCCTATTAGGCTGGAGTAAATTAATTTACTCCCCAGCAGGATAATACTTGTAAAAAGTGTCCGCAGCAATGCCCCTGTAGATGCTGGCCGGTGCATGAATGTGCTTCAGTACCAGGGCCTAGCCCCATGCTGAAGCACCTTCATGCCCCAGCCAGCCCCTCCACAGCACTGAGCCAGGGGGAGCATGCCCTGGGCTGGCAAGCTGACTTCTCCCCCACACCCTGGTCCCCTGCCAGCCAAAGGTGCTCCATGACCTGGCTCAACGTGTTGCAGTCCCAGACACATGTGCAAACAACCAGTTCATTGCTTCCAATTAACTGAATGTGTAGATGGGCCTGGTATGTCATAAGATTCTTTTGGTTACTTATCTAATTAACAACAGCTAACAGGGTCAGTAACCAAAACAATACCTCCTCTCTTTAGTTTGAAACTGATCCCTACCATTTAAAAGTATTTATTCTCAGTTAAAAAAAAAAAAATTAATTTAAGTAATATTTCAAAATGAAGGTAAACTATTTCCAAAGAGGTCACATTTGAAGTTCTGTTCCGATTTCTATAACTGCTTTTAACAGAACATGGAGATGATGAAATGAACAGCGAAACTTAAAATTATTCCAAGATATTATTTAAACTATATGTTAAGTTGTTTTCTTTTACAAAAGCAGAAGAAGTAGTCCACAGAACACCATAAGCAGTCTGTAGGAATCAAAGAAGCATACCTTTTGCGAACAGGAGACATATGATGTAGAGCTCCTTTCAAAGCGCGTTCCTCCAGAGTCCAGCATTCTATCAGTTCCTGGGGCACTCTCCAGTAACTGACACCTGCAGTTCCAAAGATGACATTTAACAACCAGAGAATGATGTGTCATGTGTTGTGTATAATATATACATGTAAGCCTAGGCCACATACATAATAAGAATTCTTATAATATCCAGAACCTCTGCATGAAAGCAAGAGAGGACAGGTATCTGTGATCTGATACTATGTATTTTTTAGCTGGCAAGCTATCACACTTTTGTGGTGTGAAGCTCCCTACTTCATGACATTCATTTCTCCCAGTTGAAGGAAAATTTTAGACACTTTTCTTTTTCAAAGGATGACTAAAATTGTTATCTTGACTCATGCCACTTACTCAAATACTGAAAATAAACAAAAGATATAACTGTCACTTGGTTAAGAACAGAATGTTTAACATTTGTCCTGTTTCTGGGAAGAAAAATACAATTACTAAAATAGACAAATATAATTAAATACTCTACCTCTCCCTTCCCAGGCATCAAAAGCATCCATCATCTTTTTCAGTTCAGCTACTGAATAATAGCTCCAGATGTATTGGACATTATTTCCAGCTTCTCTAGAAATATTATGTGGTAAATCTAGTTAATACCTTTTAAAAATGTGAATTCTGTTGTACTAAGTTCTCCAAATTATATATTTCACTTTTTTATTTGCTCATAAAAGATTAAGGATTTCTTACTAAATGTTATGTAAAGTAGATATCAAAATGTAGTGCCCTGACTTCCTTTTTTTGCATACAAGGACCAAAAGAGTATCTTTCTAATTTATCTCCCTATAAAAGATGGCAGGTGTCCAAAATGAGCATCATTAATGTTAGGAAAAAATAAGGATTTCTAATATCTTTTTATGGCTGCTTTTGTGGGTTTTAATGGTTCTACTTAAGGCTTAGTTTTTAAGCTTTATTAATTTGCAGTAGTAAATATAATGTAATAAGAAAATAGTGAACCTTACCCTGAGATGCATAGAATCTCATTTCTTTCATGTTTTCTTCAGTCTTAGTTAAGCTTACCTTTTATAAATGTTTTTACTATGAATTTTTCCTCCCAGCTCCTTCTCAATTGCATCCATTCCATCAGCTTTTGTGGCATACACACCAATAATCTTACTCTCACAGCTTGCTCCGGAGGTGTTGAGATAATGCAGAACCCAAACTGTAGGCTTGATGCAGACTAAACCATAAGAATCACAGAAGTCTATCAAGGCCTAGAGAAAAATATACAACATAGGACTTAAGAAAACAACTTAAGTGTTATTAACTGAGCTTTTCATACTTACATTCTCTGCCTTTTAATAAGACCTCTGCTAAGGCAGAAGGCACGACAGGGTAGCACCTTAGATACTAACTGGTTCACAGAGGCATAAGCTTTTGTAGGTGATAGTCTACTTCATCAGATGATGTAGCCTCAAATAGCATGTGATGTGCTGGTCACTCCTCAAATAGCTCTTGCAGAATTTGAGGAAGTTCAGAAAAGGATGAAAAGAACACTCAGCAGGTATATAAAACTCCTCATATACAGAGAAACCAAAAAGACTGAGAGTGGTGTTTACCTTTAAAGGGTAATGAATAACGGAAAACATCATAAAAGTATCTAAAATAACAAATGGTACCAAGGAGGTAGATCAGGAACTTCTACTTGTGCAGTGGCTAGACATGCACATATACAGATTTAATTAAAAAAATACTGCTTGTATCTTCCTTCTGCAACATTAACTGGTGAAACTAAGGCCATGTCTGCCATGCAGGCTACACGACAGCATAAGCTAGCTCAAGATCAAGAAGCTGTCTAACTGCAGCACTGTAGAAATCAGCATAAAGTTGATAAGCTCCATTCCACTACGGCTAGACTCCTTCCAGTACCCAGGAGAGACCCTAATTTTCAACTCTGTTCAAGTTCTTCCTCACTTCCTCACTGAGTACATGGGTGTAACTTGTGAAGATTTTGACTAGCAGTATATTTATCTAAATCTATGTGACAAATTGCCACTACGTTTACTGCAGATGATAAAAGACGGTGGCATTATAATAATGGTTCTATCAAATCCTAGGATAAATTTGCAAGATTTTTGTCTTTTAATAAAATATATGGTCAAATTATTAACTATTTATTAACACACAAAAGACTGTCAATTTTTCTAAGTCACTTTTCATAACAGACCTGGTTGTACAGCTGAAGGTCAAATTTAGAGTATCTCTTTACATAAAAATGTTGAAAATTAAATTACAAGCCCCTGAGTACAGGCAGTCTAGAATGTAGTTCAGATTTTCAAAATTTTCCTTCAATAACTATTTAACTGTGTGAATCTCCTCCTTGAAAACTCTTTTGATTAATAACATAGTAACTTCCAAAGTTAAAACCTACATGTACCAAATAATGAAGCTGCAATACCAGCTGAAAGGTATGAATTATAAAAAATGTTTTTTAAAGAAAGAAAATGTCAAGACCTTTTTAAGTTCTATATTTGACCTTAAAGAATATGTCTCCATTTCATTGGCCAAATGGTCAGACAGACTGTAAGGATAAGGGATGCCAAAATAATCTGCCTCTTCCTGCAATGCAGTTAATGTTTGTTCATCTTCAGGAATATGAACTTCTCCATGAAGATAATCTAAAAGATATTTAAACAGGTTTCCATCTCGATCAATAAGACAAGCCCCTGAAAATAGAAATAAGATAGTTAAACTATTGGTTGCAACATGTTAAGGTAGACTTTTTGTTACATTCTATCAATTATCTAGTGAATAATCAGTTACTTAATAATTAATCTAACAGGCATACAAAACTTCTTTCCTAGTTGTTTAAATAATTGTATTGTTTGCAAACACTGCCCTTCCGCAACAATATACTTTCCCCAGTCTTTTAAAACTTCTACTTTGCTTCCTGGAGTACTTGGTCACTTCGAGATGAACAAACCAAACCCCGAATCCTACAAAATGACCCCTGGAGTAGATTCCTACAGTGTCTGAAGTTCCAGTGAAATCAATGATCTGTGCAGATCATATTGAAGGATGAGACAAACTATACCAAATATAATACTACAAAAATGCACTCTATTTTTACTTGAAATCTAATCAGTTCCATGAGAAGGTAAAAACTGTTTCATCTCTAATGCTGCATCTGCCTTAACATTTTCCTAACAACTTCTCAATTTCTACAGTTACTTCATTTGGGTTTTTTTCATCTGTTGCAAAAAAACTGGCAGCTAACACAGAAAATGATTATATATAAGGTGCCATTTGCTGCGTTAGAAAATTTTACATGAAACACATTAGGGAAATAGTACTTACAACTAAACATTTCAAAACAGAAGCAGATTTTAGGTTGACACTGGGCACATGAGACGGACACTACGTCACTGTAGTGACAAGCTACATTGCTGTATCTTGCTATGGCAATGTAGCGTTGGCAGGCATGAACCATGACACTGATGCTACTATGCAGTAGCAACGAGCTACTGCGCAATAACGTGGGAAAAACCCATGTGGCATCAGTAACGCGAGTTACCAAGTAGTTATTTAGTACTTGCTTAAGCAAGTACTGAATGACTGCACAGAAAGAACTGCGCAGTCTGGTGCATGTGTAGACACATCCACTGTTCCTTAATAGAAGTGAGCAACAAAGTTTCTAACTCATCTTTCAGGTCACAGCTGAAAGACTCTTAAGTTACAGAGTCATGACTGATTCAAAATTTGATCTACTGTGAATAGTTTTAATTCCTCTGTTCATATCTGGACATAGTAGCTCAAATATATAGTCATCTTAGTTGGCAATTAAGTGTGCAGAACATATTTTCATCCTTTACAAAATTCTCTAATCTCTTCTCTGTAACCAAAAGTTAGTGGTTTAATTTCCTAGCAGTGTCAAAAACCATAAAATTCTACTGGGTGAATGGCAGCTGCTGGTGTTCGGAAGCTTTGAAAGCTTTGAAATAAAGGTATTTTGATTTTTTTTTTTT